TTTCAAAATGGGGGGGGATAACCTCGTAAGCTGTATTACTACTTTACTGCACAACTTTGGACGCAAGAGCGCATTTCTACATCTTGGGGTGAATCACTGATCATTCTCATTTTCAAGAAAGGATCTCGCAACGATTGTGAAAACCACCGCGGGATTAGTATGATCCCGATCGTCACCAAAGTGCTAGCTTCGGTTATACTTCGAAATCTGACGCCTTTAAGAGATACCAACATCCGTGAACAGCAAGAGGGATTCCGGCCTGACCGTGGATGTATGGATCAAATTTTTAGGTTGCATCAGATCCTTGAGCTGCGTCACACCCACCGTCGGCCAACGATCGCAATGTTCCTCGACCTGAGAGGAGCCTTCGACTCAGTTGACCGCGAAGATCTGATAGGCTCTATTCTTCGAAAAGGAATGCTCCAGAGGTACGTTAACTTACTGAGGTCACTGTACTCACATACATCTGGTTGAGTAAGGGTCTATGATGAACTAAGTAGGCCATTCATCACTAGCAGCGGCGTTCGTTAAGGGTGCCTTATCTCGCCTTTCCTGTTTAATTTCGTCGTAGACGACATACTGGAGGACGCAGTTAGTGGTCTCCAAAACCATCACGACGAGACTGCACCTCGACGTGTTGTGATGGATTGTGCACCTCTCTGATCCAACGAGCTATACGGGATGGCTTTTGTAAAGCCGCAGATTTAATCATGCCTGGAAGGTCAATGGGTAGAGATCAGAAGAAGTCCAGTCTTCTGGTCCTCCAGGTTGGGGGTTCGACTCGAGTTAGCGTCTCAGTCGGTAAAATGGTAGAGGAGTAATTGCTCTAAGTAAATGGGCCTCTACTTCACTTCACCCGCTGCCTTGCAGTCAGGTTCTTGTCAGAGCTAAAGGCTTTGGATGAGAACCCTAATCGTTTTCCTGCTTAGTGGTTGGACACCCTGACAGTACCCGTCGATCAAACTTGAATTCATACACAACCAAAAAATAATTCCATACTGCATCGGTCGTCGCGCAGGATAATCAGGACCGCGCTGCCCATTGCATCGAGCGGGGTGGGTAGTGATAAGTGGGCTACTNCTCCCTTTACCCTTTCTTCCAACCCGTAACATTCCCTCAGACAACTTGTTCGTCACTCGCCAAAGTTCGTTACAAGTAGCTCGGTAAGTAGTTTACCACAAAATAGATTGCATATTCTGAAGCCTCGTCAGCCACTTAATCTGGGGGCCTTCAACGTGAGGACTCTAATGCTGGTAGGTCAACAAGCATGTTCGGTCCTGTACAATAGACTTTTTGAGAATGGATGTCTGCTGCATGTCGGAGAGTTCAATCCAGGATCCTAGTACTATATGCCTCTTAAGTGCACCGGGGTTGTCTTCGAGGTTCTTCCTCCGCACGTCAAGTGATGACGAAGCCCTTTCAGTAGGCCAGAGAGGTGTGGGCATTCTACTGAATAATACAGCCGAAGCCGCACCACTCGATTGGATCCCCGTCAACAGCCGCTTATGTGCGATGCGGCTCCAAGGGTCGTTCGGCGTCCGGAAGAGAAGCAACACCAAGAGGTGTTTGTTCATCATTTCAGCGTATGTTCCGACAAACTGCAGTTCTGACGCACAAAAGGACGAGTTTTATGTTAAACTCACCGAACTCATTCGGTTGAGTGAAAGCTCCGATATAGTTATTGCAGGTGATTTTGACGCTCAAGTAGGAAAACTGAATGCATCCGAAGCTTGCCTGGGCGGTCCATGTGCTCTGCCCTGCCAGCGAACAGATAA